ATACCTTTCAAGATGGAAGTTATCCTATAGATCCTGTATTCATGCCTATTCAAAATGTGAATCATAGCATTCATTCTTATGAAAATGGTAACAAAGAGGTACYATTTCTCGAAATATGGACAAATGGAAGTTTAACTCCTGAAGAAGCACTTCACGACTGAATTACCTGGGATGCCTGTGCCCATAAGAAATCGCGGAGCCACCCATTAATAGTAATAGAACTCTGCGCAAAGTTTCCTCCCGTGATATGAGTTACTACTCCTTGATCGCTTATACTGCCCCAAACATCTGACTGCATTTTCCAACTGAAATGAAAAATGACTACTGAAATTGCATTGTACATCCAGTTTACCAAGTTATATTACCTTACCTTATTAATATAGTAAGGATAAAAAATTTTACCCAGTAAGAACGAGGCAAGGACTGAGAGTCTTACCCTGTAAGTGGGGGCAATGACTCTTACCACGGTCAGCTCTTACTGGGTAAATTGTCGCATAGAAAGCCCTTTTTGTTGACTAAAATCTTACCCGGTAGTAAATAATAGTATTAAATTTTACCGGTAAGTGCTTACCGGGTAAGAGTTTGGTAAACGACCCCTTAATTTATAAATTAGGAACTTTTATCTTTAAGGTACAACTAAAAGAAATTGTGTTCGACTTTTTTTTTTTTTGGTTCAAATTTTAATTATGAAAAGTTTTTTAATACTCTTAAAAATCATTTTTTATACATGAAATACTGCTTACTGATGCATATTACTTAAAATATAAGAATACAAGTAAATTATGTGTAAGTACAACTTATTAAGCTTCATGTTTGAATTCGTGTAACTAAATGTAGATAAATATAATCAAATACAGAATAAAATTCTTATTGTAAATATAAATGTAAAATATAATTAAGATATATTTAGTTCTAACAGAATACTTAGTTATTATTCTTATAAAAATTATATTAGTATACCAAAAATAAATTACTTTATCATGAAACCTAAATTAAATTATAATAAAATAATTGAATTAAATAAATTACACAAAAAAATGAGAACTTTTATTTATTTTTTTAGTTTTTATGATATCTTCAAATTTATATTTTATTAAGAAAATATTATAGTTTGCTCAAAACCACATAAATTCGTATTATAACATCGACAGAGACCAAAAAAATAAAATAAAACATTGAAATCGAGATATATCTTGTTGCATTGCACAATTACCCTTCTAGTTTTTCTTAATAGATCATATCTTTGGTTTTTATATATCGTTGATCAATATTTCTTCAGTTTAAACATAACCCGTTTACAATGATCTCCTTGACATATAGACCCTCAAAAGAACAATTATTTAATTTTATTGTCTTTATCCTTTTAAATTTTAAAAACGATATCGTTTGTTGGGGTTCGTCTTTATATTTGATTAATGATCTAATTAATCTCGAGATCCCACTTGTCGGATCTTCCGTCCTCCGTTACAACTCTTGCTCTTCATCAAAATCAGCACAATATCAATGTTCTCTAAGAAGCCAAACGTTTGTCATTGTATATCATGTCTCATTCAAACTCTGCAATCAATATGACGTGTTTTCATCCTCATGTCATACATATTTCAATTTTCAAATAAAAGGAGGCCAAATAGACAGTCCAACGAACTAAATTGGGATCACACTGATTTAGTTTTGGGTTCCATTATTATTATTATTATTATTATTATTATTATTATTATTATTATTATTATTATTATTATTATTTTGATTAACCTGGATATCCAACCCGCTATGCGAGCCGACTAATCCCCGGACGACCATCTGCTTTACAGATAGCCCGGAGTCACCGCATTTGAACCTCCGTGGCCACAAGAGGATTTTTATTTCTCCTTGGATTTGAACCTGAGACCTCCATGTACTTTTGACCTTTAGAGCCTAGCTCAAACCAATCAGGCACCACCCTTGTGGTTGGTTCCATTATTATTATTATTATTATTACTAGAAGAGTACTCGCGCAATACAGCGAGACACATATCGGTTTTAATGTTATATTTTATTATTTGTCTTTGTCGATGTTATAATACAATTTTATGTGTTTTTAAAAAGGCATTAACGATTTTATTCACAATGTTAATATCAAATCAACTATTTAAAAGTTCTCATTTTTATGTAATTTCTTTAATTTATTTTTTTATTACAATTTAATTTAAGTTTAATAACGAAATAATTTATTTTTGGTTTAATAATATAAACATTTTAATAGATAACTAGAAGCGTACTCGCGCAATGCAGCGAGATACATCATGATTTTAATATTTCATTTTATTCTTTATCTCAGTCGATGTTATAATATG